TCTTGTCAGGTGGCCTCCCGAACAGGCAGCCCGGTTCCATCCTGGGCACGCCTTGGGCAGTGTGCCTGGGCCCCATAGCCCTTCCCTGGGGACTCTGGATGCTCTTTCTCCCTAGTTGATGTGGGGCCTCCCACAGCCCAACGAGATCACCTTGGCTTCTCCCCGAGGGAGGATATGATGGGTGTGCCCACAACAAGTCTCCGGCAGAGACAATAGGACAGGAATGCATTCGCTTCCGAACAAACACTGTGTGGGCTCGCACAATTGCCTTGGATTCTCATCCAAGAAACACACTTCGCTGCGCGAGGGCGCGGGAGGCTTGCCTGCCCCAGCCCGCCCCCATCCCTCTCTGTGCCAGATACTCGGATGAGGGGGCTTCCTCCTCCACCCCATGCCTTGGGGCCCCCAGGGTGGGCAGCCTTGGTCCTCCCCCTCTTCTGAAGCCCCTCTTCTGAAGGGTGGTGGTACTGGGGACTGAACCCAGGGATGCTTTACGTCTGACCTACACCAGACGTAAGGTCTTTTTAATTTTGTATTTGGAGACAGAGTCTCGTCACTGAGTTGCTTTGAAGTGGCAATCCTCCTGCCTTAAACTCTCCAAGTCGCTGGGATTACAAGTGGGTCTTACCACACCCACTAGCTTTTTTTTAATAACCATTTTCTTGATGGTGGTAAAGCACAAAATTGTACCATTTTAACCACTTTCAAGTAGGTATTTCTATGGCGTTAAGTCCATGGAACATTGTCATGCAACCATTTCTACCATCCATCTCCAAAATTCTCTCATCTTCCCCAAACACCAATGCCCCCGTCCCCTCCCCAGCTTCCTGGCAGCCACCAGCGACTTTCTAGTTCTATGAACTTGACTCTTCTGAACCTCATGTAAGTGGAGGCATTCAGCCATTTGTTGTCCCTCTGTGCCTGGCTTCTTTCATTCAGCGTGCTGTCATGAAGTTTCATTGCAAGTGGTGGCATGTCAGGTGTCCTTCCCTTTTAAGGCTGAATAACACTCTACCGTGTGGACACACCGCTTGTTTCTTCATTCACCCATCCGCCAACGCTCGGGAGCTCCACTTTGGGGCTATGATCAATAATGCATCTGTGAGCATTAAGATGCCAGTACAATGTCTGTTCAAGAAGCCACTTTCTTCTTTTTCTCCAGTGCTGGGGATGGAACCCAGGGCCTTGTGCATGCTAAGCAAGTGCTCCGCCCCTGGCCACACCCCGGCCGCAAGAGGCCACTTTTTGGGACCAGTGTTTGAGTTAAAGCGATCGCCTCCTGAAGATCTCAAGGAGAGCATTCATAAACGAGAGAGCTATTGGTCCCCTCGACACACCAACAGGGGTTCACTTAGGAAAAGAAATGGGACCCAGAACAGGAAGTTTGGACCAGAATGGATGAGAGGAAAGGTCCTGCCGTTGGGATGATGGCCACAAAGGGCAAGTCCAGTAGAGAGTCCTGGGAAGCCACTGATGTGCCAGAAGCTGTTGAACCTAAGGGGTCCTGGGGAGGGAGCCCCTGTGGCTCTGGGTCCGGTTCCCTGGGTGAGGCAGGTTGGCCTCTTGTTTTACCAAATAGCGGCCAGTGGGGATTCCTGGTGCGCACCCAGGGTCAGCAAAGTTCCCTTGGGGGTCAGAGGAGGAGGCTGGAGAAGCCACACTCCCATCAGCCCTGGGGTCTGAGAATCCACTCTCGAGAGGTGGCATTGAGTGGCCACATCTGCTTTGGAGGGGAAGGCAAGGCCTGGTCTGCAGCCACAGGCTCCCTTCACGAAATCTCTGCATTCCAGCGTCTGTGGAGTCTAAGGAAAAATAAAAAACCCCCAGCACTCCTGACTTCCTTGAGAGAGCCCAGCAGGGCCGAACACACCGTGTGGTTTTTGGCTTCATTCGGACTTTCCCAAACAACCAAGGAAGAGATAAGGGTGGAGCCGAGGACCTGCCCACAGCGCCACTTGAGAGTCATAAGCAGGCTGTCCCCTGCCCTGGCAGTCAGGGACCCAGAGCCCTGCCCAGGGAGGGAGCAGGGCAGCAGCCCCAGAAGCATGCCTGAGGGGACTTTGGCATTGCAGAGGGGACATGATGCAGTCATAAAGAAGAGGGGAAGAGAAGAGAATGAATAAGAGGAATATGGGACACAGAGGAGCCTCTTCAGTCAAGTCACAAGGAGCACAAGGCCACAGGCCCCGGACAATAGCAGAAGCGAGGAGCCAGACACTGGCTCATCCGGGCAGAGCTCTTGGCTGGCAGAACTTTGAGGCTGCTTGAGGCTCTCCGGGCAGCACTGACAGAAGCCCGAAGGGCCCATTTCCAGGAGAGACCACCACATTTGACTCTGTTGACTGCTTGTCCAGCTCTGGCTCTTTGAGGAATTTCCCATCATGCTCCTTCACTTGTTCCTACACCTCAGCATCTGGCAGGCCCCCGGGGAGGTAGGAGACTCCTAAGAGACTCCTCTCAGGACAGCCCAGGTGCACCTCCCCTCACCCTGAGAGGCCCAGGTTGAGCAGCCTCCATCTGTCCCCCGTCCCCAGGCACATCCTGAGCCCACCTTCCCACCTTCCCGCTAGCCCCAGGTTCTCCCCCTCTCCCCCAGCCGCCACCACCCACTCTGTGTCAAGAGTTCCCTCTCCCAGATACCTCACCTTCCCCCTTTTTTGTGATTTTTACCATTTTAAGAACTTTTCTCCTTCTAGGCACCAGAGGACCCATGTAAGGGAAGTTGCCCACAGCAGGCAGTTCCCGGGACCCACAGAGTTCACCCTGGGCCATGCCTTCCCTGGGGAGGACGTGGGGCCAGGGACACCTTTCCCTCCAGCCCCACCCCTGACAGTCGCAGGACCCCCTTCCCACGGGGCCTTGGGACCTGCCCCTGGCGGAGAGGACGAGGTGGGTGCTGGCCCAGGTGACTCAGGGAGCACAGCTGAATTGGGAGCCCCACTCCTGACTTCCAGAACCCGCTTCCTGGGCTTCACTCTGGCCTCCTGAGTCCTCCAGATAAGGGAGACCCTTCCCGGGTGGCCCCTGAGCTGCCCCCAGGCACTGGCCAGTTGGAGCCTCCCTGAAGGATCTGCAGCCCTGGGTCTGGAGACAAGAAATTCCAGAAGCAGACAGCAGTGTGGAGGGCAGGGACAGCCGAGTGCGGTGGCCTAGTCCTCTGTGCAGATATATCGTGGACAGCCAAGTTACCTTCTGCCTTTTGCTCTAACAATAGTGCAGCAAATAGTGTGTGTGGGGTGGGGGGGAGGGGGGTGGTTCATATGGCACGTGTGGGGAACGTGTGCAAAAGAAATTCCTAGAAGTACTATCACTGGGTCAGAAGATGTGAACACATGGGACATTAATAATTGTCACCAAGTTGCCAGCTATGAAGCTCTACCAGCTCGTATCTCCACATCCATGGAGTGTTTGGGCGAGGGAGGTGTATGGGGTGACAGTACCCATGTCCCCCTGAGGTTCACCATTCCCAGGACGGTGCCTTGCAGACCTTCTGCTTACAGGGCTCTTTCCATCCCTCTTGCAGCTCTGGCAGCTGGGTGGGTCATCTCCCTGCCTCCCAGAGTGTTTGCTAGCAGCTATTTACCACGTGCTTACAGTGCACCGGGCACAGTGCCGAGTTCTGGGACAGCAGTGGCCAACAAAGGCCCTGCCCTGGTGGAGCTTCCCTTCTCGTGGAGGGAGCCAGCAGGCAGACAAGTGTCCCGGGAGGAAGTGGGGAGGATGCTCTGAGGCTGGGGGAAGACCCCGCTGAGCCCTGAAAAGGGAGGGGGAGTCAAGTCTGTGGTTGTGGCGTGGCTGAGAATTCCTGGGGACCGAGTGTGAAGTCCAGAGCTGGAGATGTGGACATGCTACAAATGGAGGCACTCTGGAAATATTACTTTAAGTGGAAGAAGCCAATCACAGAAGACCACAAATTGTATGATTTCATTCATGGGAAATATCCAGCATAGGCAAATCCAGAGACACAGAAAGTAGATTAGGAGTTATCAAGGGCTGGAATGGGGTGGGAATGGGGAATGACTGACTACTAATGGGTACAGATTTCTTTTGGGAATGGTTAAAATATTCTGGAATTAAATAGTGGTGGGAGTTGCATAACTCTTGACATCCTAAAACCCACAGAAATATTGCTTTTAAATGATGATTTTTAGCCGGGCATGGTGGCACACGCCTATAATCCCAGCTGCTTTGGAGGCTGAGGCAGGAGGATCCCAAGTTCAAAGCCAGCCCCGGCAACTTAGCAAGGCCCTAAGCAACTCAGTAAGACCCTGTCTCTAAATAAAATATGAAATGGGGCTGGGGATGTGACTCCATGGTTGAGTGCCCCTGAGTTCAATCCCTGGCATCCCACCTCAAAATGGTGAATTTTGTGTTAAATGAATCATACCTAAATTTCAAATGAGAAGGATTGAGAGAAAGAGCCAAACAGGTAGAGGGAACCCTGGCCAGGGGCGTGGCCAGGCTGGGCACTGAGCAGCCTGGCTGTGGCCTGGGTTTCTCTGGTAAGTGCCTGCAGCCTTGATTGTCCGCATGGGCCATGTCGGGCCAGTGGAGGAGAGGTTTGATTGCTGGGCGTCCTCCGTGGCCAGGGCCCAGAGCTTCTGACCCAGCAGCTAAGCTTCCTCGCACACAGGGGAGTCGCTGATTGGACATCCGTAAGCTAATTTTATTTCCCTGAGAATTTCCACTGCCCAGCTGTTAACTGAATGATCCCAGCACACTGGCTGTCCTCTCTGTGAGGGCCGCTCCTCACGGCATCCTGCCCTGCCCCGGGCTCTCTACTACCTGGTGACCGCTTCCTCCACCGGCTTGAAGCCCAGCAAAGAAGTCACTGCTCCCTGGTCCCCTCTTCTTTCTGCCTTCTGACTTTCATGAGCGCGCACTCCAGCCCGGCCCTTAGAGATACCGTCACCATTGACATCAGGACCAGCTCTGGATTGAGCAGGGCAGGGCAGCCAGTGTGCCCCCTGAGTGGTCTCCCCTCTGCTGTCTCCTCTCAGCTCCTGCAATCTCAGGACGTGAAGGAAGACGCGGTCCTCTGCTGCTCTATGGAGGTAAGCAGTGCGGCCCCACCGCACACCGCAGCTGGGGCGGGGACACAGGGTCCCGGGTGCATCCACTAGCCCAGGGGAAATGCTTTGCTGGGCAGGGCTGATGGGGGTGACCTCGTGAGTGAGCATGGACTTTCTGCACCCAAGGTTGTCACCCTGAGCCACGTGAGTGCTGATGGTGAGAGCAGCCCGCTGCAGGCAGGAGCCCGGTTCTCTAGGGGGGCCAGCACCCTGCTCCCATGACCACCTTCCTCGATTCAGGCATGCCACACCGATGACTTAAGGAACTCCACACCACTCCCTTTGCATTGGCGGCTCGGGCAGGAGGGGGGTGCCTTGTGCTTAAATCCCCCATATTGGCTCTGCCACCTTGGGAGTCGCCACTCCCTGTGTGGCCACTGCGCACTGAAACACTCCCTGTGGGACCTTCCTTTGGAGCCTGGCTCTGATCCCATCCCTGGGGTGGATCTTGGCCTTCTGCAAAAAGCCCAGAGTCGCTCAGAGTGGAGCACGGGAGGAGGGGGCTTCCAGGGCGAGGACCCAGCCTGGCAGCAGCACTAATGAGCACACACACCTCTCAGGAGACAGAGGTGCCCGGAGCCTGGACTGTCCAGGGGCAGTTCATTTGTTGAGTCCCAGATGGTGCCTGCAGAGACTGGGGAGAGAAGGCGGGTCCTTACCTCAGACGGCTCCCGGGCTGGTTGGGGATAGACACACACCGTGGGTGGACGAGGTGTGAGCACCCAGCACACACCCTGAACAACCCAGGGAGTCGATGGCGGGGTGCGGAGGTCAAGGGTGGCTCTGTGAGGGAGGCAGAGCCTTGACCATGGAGGTTCAAAGCCGCGTTGGGGGCAGCGATGGGGACAGAGATCAGAGGCGGCTGCTTTTCAAGATTGTAGGGCTCCCAGGATCCTCCAGCTGGCCGTCCACCCCAGTTCATATTTCTCTCCCCTTTGCACAAGTGTAGGCAGAGAGCGGTTCTGGAGCTGGGCGGTGGGATCGGGCAGGAGAGAAGGGGAAAGAGAGAAATGGGAGGCTACTCACTCTCGGGTTCCAGTGGACACATGCAGCTAAGAATGACTGAGCTTTTTTCCAAAGAGACACCAAGTGGATCTGAACACTCTGCCACCTGGTCACCCAAGGGATCAGGTCACGGGGCCACTCGAAGCTATGGCTGCAGTCAGGGAAGGCTGTAGGAGGGGAGGTTCTTAGGTGAGGCGGGAAAGAGGTGCTCTGGAAACTGCTCTCCGGCCTGGCAGAGAGTTCTGGTTCCTCTCGTGCCTGCTGCAGGCGGTGTTCAATGTGAGGGCTCCTGTTTGGAGAGCTCCCAGTTCCACCTGGGCGTGCACGTCCCTAAGACTCTCCAGCTATTTCTTGTCCCTACCCCCAGCCCACCTAACCAAGGCCAGGGGACACGAGGGGTCCCAAACCCTGCCCTAAGTGACACTTCTGTGCCCACAGCTGCAGAGTACAGGCCGGCTGCTGGAGGAACAGCTGCCCGAGATGATGACGGAGCTCCTGGCCAGCGCCCGAGACAAGATGCTGTGCCCCTCGGAGTCCATGCTGACGCGGTCACTGCTCCTAGAGGTCATCGAGCTCCATGCCAACAGCTGGAACCCTCTGACACCCCCCATCACACAGTACTACAACAGAACCATCCAGAAACTGACAGCCTGACAGCCGGGGGGCCTGGCGGGCAGCCCACGGGCAGCTGGGGCCCTGGCGCACAGGGCCAGATGGACAGGCGGGAGGACAGGGGTGGCCCTGGCGGGAGAAAGAAATGGGCAGGAAGGCAGGCAGAGTCGGTGGCCAGTCTGGAGCCAGCAGGGGAAGGGATCAGATCCCTGAGAGGAGCGTCCCCTCCCTCCCAGGTCCCCCGCCCCACCCCGAGCATGCCATGGCTCACACCAATCAGGGAAGCATGTGTCTTTTTCCTGGTGGCCCTGGCCCTCGCCCATCCTCTCTCCTGCCCCTCCCACCCCCTGCCACTCCACCCATACCCCCCCCAGCCTTTTGGCGGGTCTGTCCCTGCCGCTGCTCAAGAGCCTCCAGCAGCCTCGCACACCAGGACACCGCGTGGGTCAGAAAGGACCTCCGAAGGCTGAAAAAGTGGGTCGAGTCAGGCTCGCATTGTTCCCGCGTGCTGTCAGCCGCAGTCGCCAACTGGCAGCAGGGACGTGTAGCAGATGTCCGGGAAGACAAAGGCAGGCACCGTCCCCACCAGCCGCCCGTCACCGCGGGCCTTTGTCAGCCTGGCCGAGCTGGGGGCGGCACTTTTCTCTAACCTTCACGCTCCACCCTCCCGACTCGGGGTTCCCCAGGCCGAGGGGGTCGGTCGGCAGCAGGAGGGAGCTGGAGCCCGCAGCTCAGCTTGCACCCTTTTATTTTATTGTGTTTTATTTTTCAAAAGTCAGTTGCTTTGAAGTCTCTCCTCTCAATGAAAAAGCCCTCGATGTGATCACACAGTCAGCCCGCGAGGACCCCCTGATTAGCTGGAGATCAAACCTGGCCCCCTCTGGAAGGGTTCTAGCCACAAACAGCTTGCCAGTAGCCAATTAGGGTAATTGGAAACTTCTGCCCCGGCGGGGGTCCCGCTGGAATCCTCTGTTCCTCGGCCCCTGGCCTGCAGCCCCTGTGCCGTCTCTCTCAAAGGGCTGATGCTGTCGCCCCTGGACTCAGTGAGACCCAGTCCTGGCCTGGGGCAGGGGCGGGGGCAGGACTAAAACCAAAACGCACCGTTGTCCCAGGCTCATCCTGGGGGGAACAGGGAGCTGGGGGCTGCCTGGCTCTCCAGGACTTGGAAGGGTGGCTCGTGGGCTAGATGGCTGCCCCAGCCTCCGCCCCAGAAAGACCCAGAAGCCCAGCCCTCCAGGGTCTTGGGAAGGGGAGAATTCATCCAGTCAGGACAGGGACAGTCAGGTGACTGTCCCGGAAACAAGGCTGGGGTTTCTTGGAAGTCCCTCCATCCAGAGGAACGGCTTCCATCCTTGATGGCTAGAGAGGAGGACGAGGTGGTCTCTGGGGTATGGAGCCCATGTTTTGATAAGGCCCCAGGAGATGCCAGCAGAGCCCAGCAGCCTCCGGACGTGCTCCTGGGTGGAGGCTGGGCAAGGCCTAGGTCAGACTGGAGGCTCTTTCTGGCCTCCTGGTTCAAATCAGATCGAGTGGGAAGGGAAGGGTGGGGGAGGTTTCTCCTGACTGTTCCTGAGGCCAGGGAGGCGGACAGGGTGGGTCCAAGAAGTTCCCCAGTCCCCCCCCCCAACAAGTTATGGGGGACACAGGTTTTCTCTGCCAAGAGGCTCGTGCTCCCCTGGCCCTGGCCCCTGCCCTCTTCCTCCGCCCCTCCTTCCCAGGCTGCCTACTGCCCGGGGTCCTTCCCCAGCCCTGAGGCCCAGGGACCTCAGAAGCCCCACCAGAGGCTTGAGGGAAGAGCCAGGCTGATTTGGGGTAGAGCTCAGCTGGTAGAGTGCTTGCTTCGCCTGCACAGGCCCTGGGTTCAGTCCCCAGCACCACACACACACACAAAAAGAAATACAGAACCATATAAATGATTTGGGGATGCTCAGAGAGGGCACCAGGGCACTCATGCTCCCCGGAGCGGGAAGTCTGGCAGCCTCAGCCCGGCAAGCTACTCTCCTGCAGCGGCGGAGAGCCCACGTGTGCTGAGATGGCTTCCCTCAGGTGTGTGTGTGGTGCGTGTGTGTGTGTGTGTGTGTGTGTGTGTGTGTGTGTGTGGAGAATGAAGCAGGGTCCCCGAGAGGCCGGGAGTGGGGGCCTAGGTCCAGTGGAAGCAGGTCCACCCCTCCCTGGGCTCCCGGAGCAGCTCTTCCTGAAGGAGGCTCCCAGACACTGTGGCGGGGCCTCAGAGACAGGCGCCCTGGGTCTCATGCGCGTCCCTCGGAACGGCCTGTCGGGGCCTCGCCTCAGAGCCAGCCCCTTCTTGCCCGCGAGGAGCAGTGTGAAGAAGTGCGATATAAATATGTATACATATATAAATATATTTTTAATTACGTGTCGTGTCACGGTGGCTCTAGACAAACCGTTTGCCTAGTTTATTCCATGGCTTGAGAGCGCTTCCTGGCCAATCTGTAACACTTTGGGCTGATTTTCTAAATGCAGGTTGCTGCTACTTTTTCAGACATAGAAGGAAAACATTTTTAAATTTTTTTTTTTTTTTTTTAAAGAAACAACAGCAAAGCCCAAAACGTCAGAGTCTGGGCAGCTTCCCACGGGAGACTACTCAGACAGGGACAGGGGACAGAAGCGGGTGCCCCACAGCGCCCTGCCCCTCCCCAGGCCAGCGGCCCCTCTACTACAAGAGGAAGGTCACCTCCAGCTGGCCTCTGAGTGTCTGACGGGAGGGAGGACTGGCCACTGCGTGTCCGTGGCCTGTGCTGCTCCCCTGTTGCCCGCGATTCTTGGCGCTCGGAGGAGGCCCGGGTACAGCCATCTGATGTCGGTCCTCGTCTCCGCCCCGCCTGTCAGGATGAGTTAGTCACCGTGTTCCTCTCGGGCGGCCTGCTTGCCACCCTCCTGCTGCCCACGGCCTGGTGGCTTTGCCTGAGCTCTGGGACGGCAACCCCAAGAGGGCTCCCAACCTCCCCTGGACGAGGCCGCCAGCCTCGCGCTGTCCTCCCTGGGGAAGAACATGCACCCCCAAACCCAGTTTGTCGTCTGTCCTTCCTTAACCAGTCTGTAAACCTTCACAGTTTGGGGATCGTCCTGTCCATCTGTGTAAATGTAAATGTTGACGCAGTCGGTATTTATTCTCATTTTTATTTTATTTTATTTTCTCTGCGGGGCGGAGGGGGAGGGACTGCACCGAGGCTCCCGCCCCAGGCAGCTGAAGGGGCGGGGCCCAGACAGCCCGGGCTGCCAGCAGGAGCTGCCCCCTGGGGCCACCCCAGACAGTGGCCTGAGGAAGCCCAGTCCCAGGCTGTTATCTGGCATCAGAAGCGACCAGCGTTCCTTGTCCCACACGCGCTTGGCCTGGCCTTGGTGTGGCGTCCCTCAGCTGCTGGGCACTCTGTTGGGAAATCTCTGACGGGGCCTTTGAAGATGCAGATCAGAGCAAAAACAGCTCTGCTCGGGACACGGGACACTAGCCCAGAAGGCTGGCCACCTCACCTGAGCCCGCTGGGGGCCCACCGCAGGACCTACCTCCCCAGGCGGAGCAGGGCCTGGGGCCTCCGGCCAGAGCTGCAGCGGAAACCTGCCTGCGCCCGCCCACCTCCATCTGTATGTCCTGCTTTTCAGCTGAACCCAAGCTACCAGTGGGTTTAAAAAAAAATAAACAATACCAAACGCCCCAAATGCCCTGAATCTGTGCTCTTTGTAAGTTCAGCAGCCGCTCCCAAAGGTCCAGGCAGCAGGAAGAGCAAGGCTGGCTCCAGGGCCGGGGGCCGGGTGGCAGCAACTTCTGCCCCCAGAGCTGGGCACTGTACGAGTGGGAGCGCTCCCTGGAGGTGGGGCTCCCCCATTCCAGCTTTGACTCCTCAAACCTGCCCAGGGGAAGGCCCCCGCGGCATTTGGCAATGACTCCTCTTAAGAACCTGAGACTCGCGCCTCACAGCTTCCAAGAGGCCAGCACCAGCTGGTCAAATAAGTCCTCATCCAAGGGTCCTAGAAAGATTCTGATCCCCTGATGACATGTCCCTCGGTTTGCACAGTCCCCCCCTGACAAAGCAGTGGGGACCCTGCCCGTGGTCACAGCTCCCGTGGGTTCTTTCTGGCGGGGACCTGCCAGTCTTACCGCGCCTCTGGTGGTGATTACAGCATCTGCCCCTTGGTCTTCCCTGGCTGAGCCTGGTGAGGCCATGGTGAGATTGGGTCATTGCCTTGACTGAGTCATGCCCTTCCATGAACTGCATGGGGACAGACAGAGTACAGGAAATAATTTCTTTCTTTTTTTTTTTTTTTTTTTGTACCAAGGATTGGACCCAGGGCCACTCTATCATCTATTTACTTATTTATTTATTTTGAGATAGGGTCTGCTAAGTTGCTGAGGCTGGCCTTGAATTTGCAATCCTCCTGCCTCAGCCTCCTGAGTTGCTGGGTTTACAGCCTTGTGTCACTGTGCCTGAATGGGAAATAACATTTTAATTGCACAGATGAGATATTTATCAATTTCTTTTTTTTTTTTACAAAATGCAAAAGAGTAAGAGCAGAGATTGGAGATCAAAATGAAAAGTGTTTGAAGGTAGCAAAGAGGGTGGGAAGAGGAGGTCATACTAAGTAGGTCATCCAAACAGAAACCCTTTTCTGAGTGACTTAGTCTTGCCTCAGAAGTTTCTGAATTACTGGCTCCTATGAACCCCAGCATCCAAATGATAAACGCTTCATTCTGTACTTCACCCCCATCTCTGCTGATGTGTGTTCTCTGTTTTGAAAATGGTTATGTGTACACTGGGTCTATAGGAAGGGGGGAGGAGAAAACTTTATTTAGGGTGAACAACCAGAACATGAACACACACACACACACACACACACACACACACACACACACCATAAGACTTATAAGGGCCTTTTAAGAACCCAGGCAGCCAGGCGTGGTGACGCACCCCTATAGTCCCAGTGACTCAGGAAGCTGAAATACGAGGATCACAAGTTCAAAGTCAGCCTCAACAATTTAGGGAGGCTTTAAGCAACTTAGCAAAACCTTGTCTCAAAAATAAATAAATAAATAAATAGGAGAGGAGATGTAGCTAGCTCCGTGGTAAAGTGCCCTGGGTTTAATCCTTTGTACCAAAAAATAAAATAAGAACCAAGCCGGGGACAATGAACACACCTGTAATCCCAGCAGCTCAGGAGGCTGAGGCAGGAGGATGGCAAGTTCAAAGCCAGCCTCAGCAACTTAGAGAGGCTCTAAGCAACTGAGCAAGACCCTGTCTCTAAATAAAACATTTGAAAAGGGCTGGGGATGTGACGCAGTATTAAACACTCCTGGGGTCAATTCCTTGTACCAAAAAATAAAAACCAAGCAAGCAAAGAAAGACGGGGTGAACAGTGAGTGCAAAGGAGGAGGCGGCGAGGCCTTAGTGAATGGCCTCGTCCCCTAAGCACCGGGGGGGCTTCAGAGCCTCCGCACACTGTCTCAGCTGGTCTGGTGGAGCAGGAAGGGAGCCGGTGTGGGTGCTGGTGTTTGCCTGTTTGTTTTGTTGGAACCCAGGGACTTGTACATGCTGGACAAGAGCTCGGCGTCTGAGCTGCACCCCCCGCCCCTGTCCAGGCACATGGCTTTGATTCCCGTTCCGCAGATGAGCCAAGGCTAGACAGTGTGAGAGCCAGGGTGCCCTTTCCACCAGCCCAGAGTCCTCCTGCCCCTCCTTTCTCTGTCCCCTGTAGAGCACACCCCAGGGAGCCCGCCGGTCAACCAGCGGACAGCTGCCTGCTGAGGCTGGCTGGACAGGCTGCAGGGCCAAGGGGTGAGGGGTGGGCCGATGGGGCACTCCCGCAGTTTGCCATCATCATAAGAGTGACGCACCCTGGTGGGCTTCAGCTGCCTCCAGGCCAGCGGCTCCCAGGTGGGTATGGAGTGAGGGGCACCCTCCCAGGGGACCGTGTCCAGGGACACCGTCAATATTCAACTGACAGCTTCTTCAAACTGCAACTAACACAGGTCAGACGACCCCAGAACTTCCCAGTTCTGGCCTTAGGGAGCCTCCCCTTGCCAGCACTGGGTCTCCGGGAAGGCAGAGGGCAAACTTCATCTTGGAGTGCCGTACGCTGGGTAGGGAAAGGGACAGGATGGCCGGGAGCTGCCACCGGCCTCTCCGGGAGCGGAGCACAGTGATGAACTGTCACCAGCCGTGCAGGATGAATGTCTGGGGACAGCAGGTCATGACGCTGCCTTCCTCGACTTGCAGAGCTGTGGCCTGTCATCTTGGATGACAGGAGGCCACCCGCATAGTCACGGCGAGAGTGTGGGACAAAATATGCCGTGGACCAGGGCTGCCTCATGTCTTCATGGGCCCTCGGCACGTTGTGCCTTCATAGGCCTCTTCCTCAGTCAAAAAAATGATAGCATAAAAATTAAATTTTATTTTTTAATTAGTGTTGGGGGGATATGCTGGATGTTGGGGTCCACTGTGGTATAGTCTGTACTCAGCCCTTAATATATATATATATATATTTTTTAAGACAGTCTGGCTAAGTTGCCCAGAGTGGCCCCAGCCTCCAAGTCTCTGGGATCACAGGCGTGCGCCACTGTGCCCGGGGACAGTCCAGGTTCAGAGACACTTGTCGACATACACAGAACCTTACATCCCGTGGGCTCTCAGGCCTGGCTTCTGGTGGCTTGGGGTGTCGAAGCCGCAGGGAGGAGTTGGCTGTGAACAGTCCCACGGCAGCCGCGGCTCAGTGCCAGGGTGTGAGCCTCAGTAATCAGCAGTGGGGTCCCGTGCGCCTCGGGGAGACGTCAGCTTTTCTTGGTTTAAGTGAAATTGTGCAGGCGGCTCTGGGAAGACCTCCCTCCGAGCTGAATGGGGAGGAGGCCTCTTGCAGAACCCACAGTCCCCTGTGGGCTTAGATGACACCCTGAGAACTAGCTCTTGCTTGGCGGGAGTCGGGGTGTCCCAGGGTCTAGAAGCTTCTTCGGATCCCTATTCCTGGCATCAGGCCACCTGCCACTCAGACACAACGCAGCAGGCGGCCACCTCCAGCACCTCCAACTCCCAGGGTCAGGCCAGGGCTCAAGTCAGGGCTCCTGGATGGCTGGTGTCAAAGCAGAACACGCAGGAACACAGAGGTACCTCAAAGGTGAACCAAATGGGTGGCTGGGGGTCTGGCCCTGTCATCAGTGCCTGCCCTATGACTAGAGCCAGGAGTGGGCTCCGCCCTGGGCTAGGCTGAGGGAAATGAGAGGGGCTGGGGCTGAGGAGGGCGGACGCCTGTGAGTAGGTATGAAGCACATGGCCTGGGGAGGAGGGGCACTCGGGGACGCCCTGTTGACTATTACCTTGTAAACCCGTGACTGACGAAAAGGCTCAAACCCAGGGACAGCAGCCCCTGCATTCACTGTTAGTGCCCACAGGCCTGCAGATGGATTGGGGTTGTGAGTGGTGCTGGCTGGCTCTGGTCCCCCAAGACCACGAGGAGGAGAGAGCTCAGCGTGCAGGAGACCACAGCACAGGCTGTGCCTTCGCTCTGTGCCACCTCCACCAGGAAGCTCTCCCGACTGCCCCCTGAGTCAGGGTTACACACCCTCCTCTGGGCTCCCACAGCTGCCAGGGATGCTCATTCGTGTGGCCACTGGTGTGTAGGGTGAGATAACTACTGACAGAGCCTGACCTTGTCCCTCAGCATCCCCAACATGAAGGACAGGATAAAAGTTGTGGTCTGTGTGCTAAGTGGTAGAGGGCTTGGGGCAGGAAAAGCCGAGCTGTGCCTTGTGCCATGTCCTGGAGGTGGACAGCAGGGAGGACAGGAGTGCCAGGGTCTCATGATCCAGGAAGGCCAGAATGTGGATGGGGTGCTCTGCCCTGGAGGGTCCAGGGTCTCAGTCAGTGCAGACACCACCCTTGTGCAGAGCAGAAGGTGCCCTTCCTCCCTCAGGCTCCCAGGCCTGCCCTGGGACCTTGTGAGCTGCTTTGGGCCCCTCGGCTGGCCACCCTTCTGCAGGACAAATCTGCCTGCTGTGCTTGGGAGTCTCCGGGGTGGGTGTGAGCTCTGTGTGGGTGGGTGGGGGACTGTGTGCTTGTGCAGGGAACAGAGTGTGTGATGTGTAGCTATGTTGTGTACACGCAGGGTGAGTGTGTGTGTGATGCGGCTGTGTGTGAAACTGTGCTACCCTTTGTAAATGTCCCCAGCTGCTTGGCCTCAGAGATGAGCGGGCCTCTATGAGGGAATTCCCACTAGGACTTAGAAACTGTGGCCTCTTGGAGGAGGTCACAGCCGCCCGACCTTCGCTGCTCCCTGGGGCTGCAGGTGATGCGGGTCCTGCTGCAGTTAGGATGGCTGTGGTCCCAGGGGCCTGGCCACACGCCTCTGCTCACCAAGGGCCTCCTTCTGGAAGTCGGGCTCATCCTCGGTTGGTAGGGAAAGGTCTGGACAGACAGGAAGGAGAAATCAGAGAGGAACCTGCTCCCCAGGGGCCAGGGCTCCAGTCAGCAGGAGGCGCCTGGTCAGCAAAGACTGTGGCTCAGGAGACCCAGGAGGACAGGAGGAGTGGAAGGGACCCAGAGCTGCCCAGAAGCAGAGGAGGCAGCCTCCAGCGGTGGCGGTGAGGGTGGGGCCCGGTGCCTCAGGGAATGCCCCCACGACCTCCACCTGGAGGCTCTGCGAGGCAGGGGCAGCGGGGCCACCTCCTCCTGGCC